TATCAGCATCCACAAGGGTTCTCACCTATTTTTTCTTTTGTTAGTAATGAAGAGTTAAACACTGTGTATAAATTTAAAGTCAATCGTCCCCAAAATTGTTCACAGTGATCAAGGGCAATAACTCTGGCATTAATTATCAGACTTGTAAAACTGTGTGTAAATTCAAAGTCAACGACAGGACAAGGGTAACAGTAATGGATAATGAAATGTAATCATAACATTTTTATAGTAATGGTCATGTAATGAGTAATGGAAGATTTCAAAAGTAATGAGTAATGGAAATCTAATTAATTACATTCCAAAAATCATGGAATAGTCAATTACATTTCAATTACTTTATCATTACATTTTATGGCACATATCAATATTGCCCACTATGACAAGCCTCAAATGATAAAAAGATTAGGATGTTTTTGTCTTGGCTCCTGCCAACACAACATTTACTTTGTATAGCCTAAAATAATAAGATTTAAACCTGTAAAGGATACAAATGCTGATGTCATATGCCAGGGGGTTAATATATAGAACAGAGATAATTCAGCTTATTTTCGAGCACATAAGTATACATGTAATTTACATACATTTATTCATGTCAGTTCCCTGGACTTTTGACATATATATAGTCATGCTTTGAGAGTATGTTCACAGATGAAGAACTTGTCGCCCCAACAGAACCACTGAGCTGCACATACGACATGCAATAGCGCCATACACGTGGGAGGGGTTCATTGTTAAATTTGACACTTCAATCAAGGAAGGATTTATGAAAACTGCTGCTTGCTGGTTTATCTTATCCATGTTTGCTTTCCTATCGGTTCTTGCATGAGATTTACATGTACTGTTTAGCGTATCTTTGCTTTAGTGTGTTACGTTTAATTGATCGGGAGACGTGTTCGTCGACGTCAACTGACAACACTGCAAGAATTGGCCGTGGTACTGCAAGAGGAGTAGGTCAGATTGCCCAAAATCATGATTGGACGATTGATTAGGAGCATGCCACGACGAATTGCTAAACGTCTGAGGATTGGTGGAGCAATTACTCATTATTAAGACAAAAATCAAAAACGTCCATTTTCACTTTTGACAGTGTATCTCTTTGCGAGTGAAATGGGGCCGTCAGATAAGCCACCCATATGAACTGTTTATTCATGTGTAGGCAAGTGGTCTGTTATTAACATACACTGGTTACCTATAATAAAAACAGCAGTGCATTTCCGCAGTTTTGTATTGTTTCTGAATATCCCCTACTTTTTTGGAAGAGAATATTTGAAGTTGCTACAATTTCAAGGTTGAGATAGATCAAATTTAATTTTTGCAGAGTATTTGAATATCAGACTAGTACTCGAATATTCAAATACTGGAGTTCTGCAATCGAATATTCAAACACTCGGGATGAACACTAATAACTAAATCTTATTTTCAAGCACATAATTTACATACATGTATTCATGTCATGACCTGATAAGCTCCTTGGACTTTTAACAGTAAATGAAGCTGCTGCAATTGCAATGTATAGGTCACTGTTATACACAACAATAAATCCCCTGGTTGATAAAAGATTTATCTATCTTCAATGTTCACTTATTAGGTTACATATTGCTCTTATCCAATTTTAAAATTGTTATTATGTCATGAAGTGATAATGTGACATGTTTCATTGCATACTGCTTAAGGCCAAATGTCTACTATCACTCACGTTTAAATCAGATATTTTTGTAAGAAATATATTTACAAGTATTGCTAATGAACTCGATCATCCTGTATAAATCATCAAATAATTATTTGTTTGAATTGCCATTGTGATAACGCTCACTAAATAGGGTTGTGTGTAATTCTACCATTGATCTGATGATTATATGATGCTGAAAGGCAGATAACTCCATTAAAGCTTCATCGACGAAGACCAGAAATGATATCCCAGGTGTATCGAATCCACAACAAATGAAAATCAAATGAAATGGGGTTTAACGTCCTACTGTTCTGCTCCTAACCTGGGCTAATGAAGACGGGCATACGCCATACAGTGTGCTATGAGGGAAATTTTGCCAGGGCAGCGGCGCTACGGCCTACTCTTATATCGAATTCCAACTGCCAAGGGATCTTTTACGTGCACGCCAATGTGTACACGGGACCGCGGTTTTTCGTCCCATCCGAACGACTTTGTCCACTCGGTCTTTTCCTTCTGACTGCTATGCAGAAGTTTTGTTTCAGAGTATATTTTCTAGGATTGAGCATTCTTTCACAATGCTGTAAATGAAATATTGTTTTGACAGAGAAAAACATTAATTAATACATAGACCTGTTATGAGCTAGATAGGATCTAAATATTAAAGTACATGTCAACAGAATAACTCAGATCTGTTCAATGTATTGCCAGGAAACATTATCCAGTTAATATATACTTGTTGTAGTGGTTGTTCAGAATTATTTTCACACTAAATATCTTATTCTGTAATATACATTGTACCCTTTCACTTTAACTTACATGAGTTTCTGGCCTTACAACAAATTAAAATCTGTCCTCAGGGGCCGCAGATATGGGACAGATAAAGAGATTATCACTGATGTGGATGAGATTTTAGGACCATGTGCCAAACAGTGTTTTTCTGACGAGTTAAATATGTTGGAGAAACAACGGAACAATTGTATTGATGTCAATGAGGATTCTGTTGAAAAATATAAATATTGCATTTCAATTTTCATACAGATCCCAGATTAGTTAGGGAGGCCAGACAATTTTGGGATACCCCACGTACATATGTCTGTTGGGTTGCATATTTCCTAGGGATGTTAAAAACAGCAATATTAAAAAGTTTGGTTGCCATTCAACTTTTGACAGCCACAGATGTAACAGTCTAGAGCCCCTCACAATACTTAAAAGACACAAGCTTTTAACGTTTCAACTTAAAAGGTAGTCAGGTAGAATCATAAGCTTAATTGTAGTTAGATGTGGCAGAAATGTAATAATTAACAATAACCAATTGTTGTTTTGAAGAAAAAATTGACAGTTTCGCTTATTGAATTCCAATGTGATTCACATCAGCATCTTCCAGAAGGAACTACATGTATACCGTCACTTATCTCGAGACATGTGATGTATGGGTAGAAGGATGAACTGATGAAGTTATTTATCTACAGCTGCAATATTTGTGAGCAGTGATTATTGTCTTATTCACGGCTACAAGAGATACGCCATTCAAGGCTTTGCGCAAGTAAAATTAGGTTCAATTGCAAAATTTTCAACACATATCACAGTTTGCATGGAAATAAGTAATTATGTTACAAATATTGAAGAGTGGAACACTGAAATCTTAATCTTATGTTACAGAACAGTTTTTCTGTATTTTCGAGGTGACGTGAAATCACGTGCGTGTTCTAATTCTGATTCGGCGGCCATTTTAAAATTCCGCGTCGCAGTTGGGTTTTATCAAATCATATAATTATGTAGTATGGTTTCACCTTTATTTCAGTTAGAATTGGTTTATTATATGTTAAAGATACATTGTCCCGAAAGTATCTATCTGGTGGTTATTTCCAATGAAAGTATGGCAAATTTGGTATATATGGAAAGTATAGACACCTAACCTTACTAGAAAAATACTGGATTATCTAAAAAAAACATCCATGGGGCAAGCACTGGGGAAAAAATGTCACGGTATCACTAACTGGCAGCATAACTGTTATCTGCCAGCTTATTGTGTGCTAGCTTGACTGAGGGAGAGGTTGTTATTTCTTGATCAAATGGTTAGGTGGTTTGGGGAACATTGAGGGGTGACGTCAACGGCGGAAAAGTAGTCAATAAGTAACGAAATACAGTTTAATGAACACAATTTGGCAACCTATTTGCCTAACTGCAGATTTGACCAATCAATCAAGCTGGCAAACTTTTCGTTGGCAACCTCTTCAGAATAAAGACCAGAATTGCCCAAACTCATCTAGATTCATCAACCAATACAATCCAACGTTACATTGTATAAAATGAAAGGAGAATATATTATACTGTACACTATTACCATATTATGCTCTTCTTTTATTTAGTTCAGAATTAAGGTGTAATTTCAGATTGTCGTACAAAATTCTTAGCATCTACTAACTACATATAGTCTAAAAGGTAATTAGGTAAGCTTTCCAATTAAAACCAAGAACAGCTGCCACAACCATATTAAAGGGCCACGCTCCCATGCTAAACATGGCCAATTTTTCAATATTTTAAATTGAGCATACATACAAACAACTAAATATGTTCTGAATGGTAATTAAATAAGCTTTCCAAATATTTTTAATAAAAGTTGGCACAGTCATATTAAATGGGCGCACTCTCATCCTAAACATGGTAATTTTTTCAATAGTTGAAAGGGTAAAACCATTAGGATCATCATACAAAATTATGAGCATCCAACTAAATATATTCTGAAAGGTAATTAAAAGGGTTTTCCAAACATTATTAATAAAAGTTAGCACAATCATATTAAAAGGGCACGCTCTCAACCTGAATACAACCAATTTTTCAATATTTTAAACATGAAAATAGATTTTTTTCGAAGACCATTCCGAGTCAAAATTTTGAGCATCCAACTAAGAATATTCTGAAAGGTAATAAAATGGGATTTCCAAATATTATTAATAAAAGTTGGCACACTCTCAAACTGATATATATACTTCAAACGCCTTTATTCACTTTTCTATATCTAATGCTTAAAAAAAAAGAGTTAATATTGCCATATGGGGGCTCATTAATTATTAAGCCGCATCAAAGTCATCCCTAATGATTGTAGCAGCCTAGCAAATATTCACTGCTGATCAGTGTGGCATTGTGCGTGCACCGTGGGCGTGAGTGAACTGGAGATTGAGTCTGACCATAGACATTGATAGATAGATAATAGTCAATACGGTATTGGTATTAAATTAATAATATATAATTATCTAATAATCTATCTAATCTATTAATCATTATCTGAATGATGGTCTGACTGAGGAATTTTCTACACGGTGGTACTTACGTGTAATGAAGTATCATTATCAATTTTTTCTTTGTCGCACATCTTACACAGTTCTTTTCCAGTTCAAATGTATGGTGCGTGATGAGGGGGATCTACAATAAAAACTTTTGTACCGGTACTGCTTGATTTTTAGAAGTCTGACAGACAAGTTGTTGATATTTTACAGGTGGCGCTGTATATTTGACTTCCGTTTTAGAAAATGTTTTGACAATTACTTTCTCCCAAACAACTCAGGGCTTTTCAGATATCTCGTCATTTGTCTCTGTGGACAGTTTAATAAATAAGGTTTTGACTCATGTATTCGTAACACACAAAGGTAAATGGAAGTATATCATGTTTTCCTCATAATAAAAATCTAAAGACTTGGTCTTGACAATCTCGTCTAATTTACAAAATTCAGAGTTGCGTCCCCTGTTAGATTGCCACTGTCGACATGAACCACTGATCTTTAGAAATCAGTGACATAAACTCATGTTGTGTACTTCTGCCATTTTATAGTATTTTTGAGTTCATCTGAGACTAAACTTACAAAAATGTTGTAAATATCATAATTATTGTTTTAACGGGAAACATTTCATTCTCATTTGCTAATCATAAAATATAGCCTAGACTGTAGGCCTATATCATATGTGTCCAATTCCGTTATCCTGATCAAGTTCATTCAATCATTGCATATTATGACACACGTGCTTGTAAAATGGAAAATCTCTTTTAAAGGGACAATAACACTCTTGCTGGCTTGAAAGCTCCAGAAAATAAATAATATCTCTATCTAAGTACTAGATGTTTAAGTGTCCTACCAGTTGTGTAAATTATCCATTACATCCTATTTTACTTGTCCTGAGGGTTCGAAAATATTTTTAAATCGAAGTTTCATTTGAAAAGGTTTACGTTATGTTGAATTTTTCAAAATTTTTAAATAAGGTGTATTAAGATGAAATTTGTATCATCAATTAATTGAAATATTCTAAAATAGTACAATTTGTTGACCAGAATAAAGTTTGGGACATATTATTCAGTTACAAGAGTGGTATTGAGCCTTTAAATATACATTAAACAGAGGCAAAATATTATACCTATTACGTTGCTATTCACATAAGCCAGTTAATCAAATTCAGGGATTCACGCTGGCTCAGTCGACTCAGTGAGTAACATCACAGGAGTCTGACTTTCTATCCGTATATATATATGCATACACCATGTCCAACCAGACAATATATAATAAATAAGAACAGGAATGCAACGCCTGTTGAAGACTCGAATTTACCTGCTCTCGCTTCGGCTCGTTTTTTTCAACAATTCTTAATGTCAGGCAATCGAACCTCTGTCGATTCACTCAGATATGTTTTTTCTTCAATCTAGTCGTTTTGATTTGCATAAATACTCCCACAAAACGATATCATAGCCACTTGTTTCCAATATTTACATTATTTTCGTCCATTTCCATTTTGTCAACTTGATACTGCTGGCCTTAACTTAGTACTTTCACCTTTGATTGACATGAACTGCAAGAACCTTTCGCTTTCAGAATATTTACTCTAAACTTAGTTTAATTTTATTTTTAGCAGAAGAGGCTAACCCAAGAAGTTCTGGAGGTCTACAAAAAGATACTGTATTGTGATAAGAACGAAAATACTGACATTGTGTGACAGTACTACCAATTTATTCAAAATCTTATAAAGAAGTTATTGCTGACCATTTTCAAAAGCTCACTGACAGCTAAAAATATTATCTTGTTGATTTATCACTGTTTGTATTCGAGGTACCATAATGAACTATAACAAACTGCTTAAAGTCTTATCTTTGTTGATAATTTTGAATAGTTGTTTTTTTGCTATTTGTGTTGCGAAAAAAGGGTTCAGTACAAAGACACCGTATGAATTCATACATCCCCCACAAAAGAATGTAATAGAAGATGATTGGTACAATGCTCATACAGACAAGTACACATGTGGTGCCGTTCATGTTTCAGCAGTAATAAGACATGGGGCAAGAAATCCAGGAGAATCGGATAGTAAACGTATAGGTGACATACATATGAGAATCAAAGATAACATAAAAGATGGTGATAAGTTCAAATTACTTAAAGATTGGACAAATGGGTTTCCTGTTAATAATAATAAAAACCTCAATGATGCTGGAGAAAGTGAACAGCATCGTTTAGGACAAAGAATTGCCAGACGATTGAAATCCCTCTTTCTTGAGGAAGACATGTCTGCAGTTCAATTCATGGTGTCGAGTGCCAAGAGAACTGAAGATAGCGCATTAGCATTCTATGAAGGAATTGGGGATGAAATAAACAGTGAAGCTCCGGAAGAATTTGATTCTGAAGTGAATGATGAAAATTTAAGATTCCATACAATGTGTCAGAAATATATTAACAGTGTTGAAAACAATGCTACAGCACTTAAAGAATATAAAGTATTTGGTTCAAGTGATTTAATTAATCAAGTGCTGGAAAAAGTCATTACCAAACTTGGGGTAGAGAAAAATGTCCTGGAACCAGGTAGAGTGCCATTACAACAATCTTCCAAGAATCCAATTCCAAGTTATGATTAAATTGTACAAAAAGAATAAAGATTATTAATATGTACATGTACATTGATTAAAATGTTTGAAAATGGGAATTTAACCATTTGAAGTATAATAATATTCTAAATTCTAATATAAAATTAATCACTAGCGTCTTCTTGAAAATCTGGTTTAGGCCTACACATTGCTCTATTTAGAATCACCAGAAAATATAACTAAGATAATAATAAAATAACCATCAGAAATTGCAAAATCAAATGGTTGGGTTTAATATTCTACTTTTCTGCATGGACAGGGCTAATGAAGGCAAGATCACAAATTTTATCATTAAGTCTTTGATCGTCATTGGATCAGTCCCAAAAGTTATAATGAATTGAAAATTTGTCAACATTCAATATTTTCTGCAGACAATATAAACAGGATAAGGTTGAAACAAGCAAGTGCCACCTATGATCTCCCCTAAAATCTTTGGATGGGCCTTATTTTTATATGATGGAATCAAAGCCAGGATTCACCATTGACTACATTTCAGTGTGGATTAAGCCATGAAAATTAGATAATGTCTGAAAAATACAAATGATAAACAGCAGCTTTAAATCAGATGTAAAATTTTACCTTTACTTGTACGAAGTAATTTAATCTCTTAATTATAATTCCATATAATTATTTACCTATGTATCTTTCTTATTGTATCACCAAATAGATATGTTCATACCTATTTTTCAGCTGATCTTAAAACAATGTTTGTTATTTGTGGAAGTGAAATGGCTGTCTTCAAATTTTCGCCATGGTGTGATTTATTTGATGATGAAGACAATGAAATAATGCAGTATTGGTCTGACTTAAAGGTAAACTTATTTTTAAGTTAATAGATGATGTATTTACAATGTTAGAGACTGTATATTGTTACTGCTGGAAGTAATTCAATTCATATGTAAAATGTATTTATAGCCCGGCAATGCTATGAAAGGTTAGTCTGATGCCTTATGAGTTCTGACACATACCACTTTGGCTCATTCAGGTTCAGCCATTTAAAGAAAATATCAGTTTCTGTGGTGTCAGTCAGAAATTCTTATTGAAATAAAGGCATATATTCACATTGATAATTACTATCAAATTATTTTTTTTAAAGAAATATTATAAAAATGGACCTGCTTATAGAATTACTGGTGAACAGAGTTGTCCATTAGTAGCGGAACTGTTTACTATAATGGATGATGTGATAGCTGTTATAGAGAGAACAGAGGAAGATAAAGATGTAGAAGGGTAGGTAATATTTTCTAATAAACACCCATGATTATTTTGTTAAACATATTGTATTGTGACTGAGTTATTGTCAATGATGGAAGATATTTTGGTACATTAGACGCATGGTTAAGTTGCAACCTTTTATAGCTCCCAGTTACACATGCGTAATATCATGGATATGTGTCATTAATCCATATAATTCTAAATATTGGGTCAAACTCTTAATACTGATTTTATTATTAAAATGACATGAAATAATTTGATTAAATTTTAACAATCATACTTTTTGTAAAGATGCAATTAAAGCCCAGCCCTCAACAAACATGGACATCTATTATAACTTATGAGTAAATTTTAGTGATTAAGTGATTAGCTCTTACATAATGAATAAATGCTTGTAGAAATAAATCACTCACTATCAATATTATTCGTGGAATCATGACTAACTCTGAATTCTGGAGTAAACAATCAAGCAACAATGTACACATGAAGAGATATTTTTTTATAAAATGGGATATATTTTTAGAAAAAGTCCAAAGCCCAGCTTAACCAGAGCGGGGCCCTGGGTCTGACTAGAATTGCGGGGCCCCTAACGCGACAAAAAGAGTATTTAATATCCTTTTGAATGGCATGCATGCGTAACAGACAATTAAACGGTCTGTAATACAAGAATAAATACATAATATCTTATCAAATACGAAATCTGTTCAGTTCCGAATGGCATACAATGCGTGGAAATGACATATAACAGCGATTACCGTGAAACTTTTATCTGGATTTTGAATTTTTTCTCTTCTCGCCATGAACCGCAGGACCCCCTAAACCGCAAAGGGGCCTGAGCCGGCTTTGTTAAAATCAACAAAGTTATTATTAGTGTTTGAGTTGCCTCAGACCCAAGGTTTCTTTTCTTAATATTTATATTCTATTTTCAGTTATTTACTAGGAAATATGATGTTTGGTCACGCAGAAACATTGGGTCCACTATATGCTGCTCTTGGATTATTTAATGATACTATTCCATTAACATCCAAAAACTATCATGAGCAGAAAAACAGACTTTTTAGAACATCAGAAATATTACCATTCTCCGCTAATATCATGTTTATATTGTATGAATGTGAGGAAAATGAAGAACTTTTAAATGACGAAGAAGAGGAGGATGATAATCCTGATGATGATTATCGCATTCAGTTATTCGTTAATGAAAAACCAATGCTAATTCCAGGATGTAAAAATCTATTATGTCCATATACGGATGTCAGAGAATGGTATTCAGATATCAGTGATGATTGCCACTTCGATTATCTTTGTGATCCTCATAAAAAAATGCACGATGAATTATGATACCAAATACCAAAACTTTATCTTAAAAAGTTACAACCTTACATTTGAGAATATAAATGCTACCTCCCAGCGTAGATTTATTAAAGAGACATTATGAAAGATTAGGTAAAGAGCTGGCAGGCCTCGCTATAGTAGTTAAAAAAATAGATAATGTAAAGGGAATATGCTGAAAATTTCAGTCAAATTACTTCACTCTATGAGCCAAGAAATCCTTAACACTGTAGCCTCGATTGTCATTGTTACCGTTGTTACGATAACAAACAAAGTCTCGATTTTCCGTTTTTATAGTTAATCATCATCAGCTGTTGAACTGCAGATTGGATTTAAATCTGTTGAAAATCGGACCCATCAGATGGCATCGAGAGTTGATTATGGTCTTGTCATGTTAATACATGTCTAATTATAGTTTATATAACATTTAATTAAGAAGGCACAAAGAAAGACCTGCAATAGGCAGATTTAGCTTTTACATAATGCTCTTACATATACACCTCATAACATGATAATTTAGACAAAAGACAACATGTCAGTCTTGCAGATATTTCTCTTATGAAATGCTGTCACTCTATGGCTATTCTGACAAATTGTTGAAGACAAGATTACAAGAGGAATGACACTATGCATAAAAATGTACTTGTAATTGATAGTAGATTTAAAGGAGTCATCCCATTCCAGAAATATTTTAGGGAATAAAGCTGGTTAGTTCTGCATGAACAGCTCTTCGAAGCCATAGTCCTATTCAGCTATTCCAAGTTGTGTACAACTATCTGGAGCTGTTTGAATAAAACATGTCTATAGACCATTAGTTAAGGGAGGCATTATTTCTTTACATGTTTGGCAGCATTTTTAAATGTACATCTTGTGAAATCTTGGAAAATCCCTCTAAAGAGCTGATGGCATTGCTGATGTTCAATCTCTTGCTTAAGCTTTTACTTGTGGTGAGGTATGCCAAAGCTAGTAAATTATTATTATGCACGACCAGTGAAGATCTTTTTTTCATCTGATCTCATGATTTAATCTATTCTATAAATTCAGGTTTATTTATGATTACAGTGTACTTAATCTTAATACTTTTCGTGTGTCATGGCCTTGTGATCAGTAACTTTTATTTAAAGATACATTATGAGAGATTAGATAAAGAGCTGGCAGTTCTCACTATAATTGTTAAAAACTAGATAATGTAAAGGGAATTTGCTGAAAATTTCTGTCAAAGTGATCTTCTCTGAACCGAGAATTTAGCGATTGAATTTTGGACCTAGCCTTAATGATCATTACTAGAGTCGGAACAATGAAAAGCTTAGTAATGATTAACCATTTCCTTGAGTTGTGCTGCAAATCGGATCCTAATCCAGTAAATATCGCAGGCTAGCGATGACATCGAGAGTTGATAATGGTCTGGATAAGTAATTAATGTCTAATTAATAATTTAGATAACATTTCAGGCCTAAAGAAAAACCTGCAGTAGGCAGATTTAGCTTTTGCATAATGTATGTTTAAAAGAGCTGCTATAAAAAGCAGTCTGAAAACTCCAGCTTTTAAGTTATACTTATCACTGACTTAAACTTGTCATGAGGATTACATTAAATTATAACAGTATGAACATATCAAAGATACTGACCGTCTAGGGGTTTAAATTTGAATAAATCATTTTAGGTCACAAGAGTTGGGGAAAATCAGTTAGTAGTAAAAGAAATAATAGGCCTTATTCGTATTTGGTGTGCCCTTTCTTGTTCATTTAGTGTAAAAACATAATATGTTCACATGTTATTTTAATTTTTTTACATCTAATTATAAATATTTTAATTCTTTTACTATTTACTGCTATAAGAAACACCAATTCAAACATAAAGTTTATATTTCAATGTATTGGTTGTTTATTTTTATTGCATTATTATGTATTTTCAGTTAGTTTTTATACAAATTGTTATTCACATCCATAGGTTTCACCCAGTGTAAACCGGTTTCATTTTAACTTATTGATGGATTACATCCACATTGTATTTTATGTTCATGCATTGTTATTAATGTTAAATTATTTTATGCATAATTTTGATTTAGAAATAAATTTGTATAAATATATATATACGTTCAGTTGATAATTAATTCTTTATTCAAATCCCATACTGAATCTCATGATACAAACAAAATCTATCCTGCAATAATATATATATAGCTAACCTTGTTCCGGGATGTGCTCAATCCATTTGCCAAGTTAAGAGCTGTTGGCCAAAGGATTACATTTATATTACATTTATATTCTTCAACAAATAAATTTCATACAGATTGGATGATAACTTTTGTCGATAAAGCGTTCACAAGGTTCAACAAAGTGAAACAAGGACCATAACTCTAGAAGTAATAAATGGAAATTGTTGGAATTTAATAGGCTCTTTTGATTTAGTGATCTAAATAATGCATATATATTTCATACAGATCTGATGATAACGTTTGTCGATAAAGCGTTCGCAAGGTTCAACAAAGTGAAACAAGAGCGAAAATTGTTGAAATTCAATAGGCTTTCTTCGATTTAGTGATCTAAATTATGCATTCACATGGTTCAACAAAGTGAAACAAGGGCCATAAATAACTCTAAAAGTAATAAATAGAAATTGTTGAAATTTAATAGGCTATTTTGATTTAGTGATCTATATAATGCATGTAAACAATTTATATAAATTTCAAACTGATCAGATATTAAATATAGTATGTAGCGTGTTCAAAAAATATTTTTGACAACAGACGGATGTACGCTACAGCAATATACGACCACATTTCTATGTATTAAAAGCAGAAACTTATATTATTGACTAGTTGACAAGATTCTGACATTATTGAGAGCTAAAACTGTATAAGTAATTATCAGTTATTGCAATAATAATTTCAAACAGATCATGATAAATTCTACAAAGTCATCAAGGGCAATAACAATCGCCGAAATTTCTTCCTCTCACTAGCTAATGTAAATAACATGTATAAGTTTTAAAATGATTGGATAAATGTACTCCCAGTCTTCACATGGAACTGTTATAATATTAACATAAATGCTGTAGTCTGCATGAAATTGTTTTAATCCATATAAATAAAATCAATGTCTGTATGTTCGTCAATCATGCTTCATCACGGCGCTTCACTGCCAGATATGTGGTATCAAATTAACCAGCATGACCCTGTGAGTGTTCTAGGCCATCGAATTTGGGCCCTGGGTGAATCAAGCTTCGTCGCCGTGCTCCACCCCCACATATATATATATAGTATGTGATATCAAATTAACCAGCATGACCCCATGAGTGTTCTGGGCCATCGAATTTGGGCCCTGGGTGAATCACGCTTCATCGCCACGCTCCACCCCCACATAATATGTGATATCAAATTAAACAGCATGACTCATGAATGTCTTAAGCCATCGAATTTGGGCTCTGGGTGAATATGGGCCTGGCTACCACAGATGTGGTATCAAATTACCCAGCATGACTCTGTGAATATTTTTGGTCAACAAATTTGGGCCCTGGGCGTGTGATGAGGTCATGATAATTTATCGAAATCTATCATTTATTACCATTTTAGGTGATTGTATTTTCTAGAATCATTTGGAAACTTCTAGAATCAACTGCAATTTCTGGAAACAGTGATTAGAAATATTTGGAAGGTTCTTGCGGGTTCTAGAAAAAGTTGTAAGGTTCTTGAAAGTTCTGGAAGATTTGGCCCCTAACTAATTTGGGGCCCGGTCGAATTGCGTCCCAAAGCAAATTTGGGCCCTGGGTAAATCTGAGCCTCAGACAAATTTGGGCCCCAGGCAAATTGGGCGCCGAGCGAATTTGGGGCCTGGGCAAAGCTGGGTATTGTGCTAGTATTAACATAAATGCTGTAAACATGACAGATTACAAAAAATATATTAAATTAAATCTTGTTTTATTACCTTAATATTACATATAATTTATCGCACTCAACAGTTTTATATACAATAGATGATAACAAATTTACATAATGATCACAAATTTACATAATGATAACAATTTTGTTTTATATTATGTTCATAATCACATTCCATGCTTCAGCCTGGACAGGTGACAACTAGCAATGTTAAATCACTTCTTTTGAACACAAAGCAGATTTAAATGGACAACAACCATAACTACGGAATGATGACTTGTGAGCTCATTCAATAAACTTTTAAAAAATCTTTTTTGAATTAAAATATAGAGAATACACATTTTAACATTATATCATCTACACCATGTTCGTATAGGGAATGCTCACTGGTCCGCGGGTTCACTAGTCCACGGGTGCACTCATCCACCGGTATAAAAATACTATAAAGATGGGTATCAAAAAACCAAGCGGGTATGGTGGCAGAATGGTATGGTATCATGTTGTGATGTCGCCCTTCATAAGGTGACAACCCAACAACCCGAAATCACAACAATTTAAAACCGACAATATGACATTTCACTTGACACCATGACATTTAAACTGTAATGTCAGGGTTAAAATGTTGTATGTCGGCCATCTTCCTCTCAATATATAGTATGATTATTTACAATGATCCTGGTGCTGATCAAGAAAGTTCCCTGGGATTTCGCAGCATGGTTTCGCCCTGTCGGTAGTGCAGGACGAATGTTTGAACAAAGGATATTGTCTAGTTGTGAAGATGGGACAAAAACACAAGCCCCTGTGTACACATTGGCATGCACATTAAAGAACCATTCACATTTGGAATTCGATGAAGAAATGCCATTGTCCATAGAAAATTTCTGTCATAGCACTCTGCGTAGCATATGCCTATCTTTAATAGTCCGATTGGCTGCACTACCAAGAAGGAGAAACCACGTTGCAACATCCCGGGGAACATTCTTGACCAACACCAGGATCAGTGTACATAATCAAACTGTATATTGAGAGGAAGATGGCCGACATCACAATATTTTAACAGGACAATACAACATTTTTACGCGACATTACATACAACATGTATAAATGTTGTATTGTCGGGTTAAAATGTCATGCTGTCGGTTTAAAATGTCGTTATGAAGGGCGAAACGACGACATCACAACATGATACCAATCAGCCAGCATACCTGCTGGGTTTTTTTATATACCAATTATTTATAGTATTTTTTATAACGACAGAATAGTGCACCCGCAGACTAGTGAACCCCTCTCGTTCATATTATGCTACTGCATTTGAGCAAGTCTCAAGCACTTATTTTATTTACAGATTACTCAGTTCTATCACTTGTAAAATAAAAAATAACGAGCAAAATTTCTATAAATGCAGTTTACACAATTTTTTTACACCATTGTTACATAATTCTGTAACATGAAATAATAAAAGTTGCACCATGGAAGTTTCTTCAAAAAAAAATATACATTCAATATATATATATATCTATATAGTGGTTGTAGAATATTGATATTAGTATTCTAAGAAATGCTAAAAAAAACATAGGTCTTATTAATGCTGTGGATATTCGTCCGACATCGGACCTAAGCTAAGTGAATAAGCTTTCCTGCGAGAGACCAAGACCAAGACCAGGATAAAGGGCAGGACCACTTGGTAAGTAAACCAGCATCAGCAACATATACTCAGGGGGCCATTCTAAATTTTCAAAACTCTTCAATACCTTACTTAGTCCTCAATTCTTCCTATTGTCTACAACATACGTCTGATACTGTCACTATGCAGCTTGTTAACAAGCCTGGAAATAAGGCACTTATCACAGGCACAAATTCAGGCTTTTGTCAAGCACAATCTCTCATTTAGTCCGGCACTGATTAGTCCTGCAACCATACTTGAACTCTCAACATTACAAGGTTTATCTTTATGAGCACAAATATGACTGAAATTGTTTTTTATTTTTTCCCCAAACATTATCCTGCAAAATATTATTTTGTGTGCATTATAACTTGATTGTGGTATTTTATGCACAAGCAATAAATTGTGCAAACATACTACATCTTAACTTTTTCTATAAATCAAATACAATATTATATGTTTACAAGTGTTTACTTTCCCAAAAGGTGTTGAGTAATTAACAGATTAATTAATTACTCGACACAGTTGTAAACCTGACACTCATCATCTAATCTAGACAGACCATTTTAAACTATGTGACAGTAGGAACCCATTAGTTTTTGATGATTTTCAACAGATTTTAATAATTTACAACAATGGTCTGAATTTCAGACTCTATAACTAAACATTAAATACAGAAACTCCTGCTAAAACAGTACAACGATGTGATGCGTGAGTTGCAGTGATAAATTCTTGCAGGGATTTTTTTTTAACAATATTTTTATTCAGGATATGTGAACCAGATTGCAGGGATGTATACAACAAATAGTTGTGTATTTGAAGTATTTCCTTTGATGTTTGGTAAAGTAACAGAACCCCACTGCAAGTTTCCATTTAGGTTTGATTGATATTTAATGAGGCAAAGCAACATAATGGATGCATTTTTCTTTATGAAAAGGAATTAAAACCGTGTCTATTTTTTGGTTTCTATGGATTGCATTTTATGTTACGTAAGATTCGTTTCGTGTATATCATTGTCAATATCTGTATCTTGATTATACAAAAGTTCATTTAACGAACTTGATATCATATTACTTTGATCTTGTTCCATTATTTGTCTCATCATGCTCTGATTTCTAGAAAAAAAAAAAATAAAATAAACAATTATCATACTTATAGATCAGATTATGTAACTTCATCAGAATACTACCACACAAATAAAATTGATTTTATGAACTTCTGGCATGATTCTTTAACTGCCAACCTTAATAACTCTACCACCTTAATCACAAATCATAATTTCTACCACATCTCTCTTCTTTGGAAACTCCAAATGTACGAAAATGGTTCAAAAAGCATATATTACTGTAAAACTTTTTAAAACTTCATTGTAATTTCTACTCAGTTTTGTTCGTCAAAATATGTGAGCAGTCCAAATTGAATGGCATTCACTTGCGTCTGGTTAGTCCAGTCTATATGAAAAGTACTGTTTATGACATTTCACTTATGCACTGATGTAATCATCATTACAAATGGCACTCGATAGCATAGAGTACATACCCTCGTCAACTTTTAACATTGTTCACTGTGTCGTAAATATTGGATATCAAGCGCCCACATTTTCATCATAAATAACATTAATATGGATTGGAATGGACTAATACACTTTGTTTGCAATGTCAAGGACTCTAGATAATAACAATTTACCGTAGAGCTTTATCTCCTATAAGCTACAGACAAAAAATTGTGTGTATATTTATTTCCAAAATATCTCTCACATACTACATGAACAAAAATAGCTACAGTATTTTTCACCATATACATGTATGACTATAGCAATCAGCATTGGATCTACCAGTATTTTTGTATTAGAAATTTGTGTAGAAATCAAGACGTAATTGAATATAATTTATTGAAATCTAGTCTGTATACCTTTCTGCTTGCTCCTTTCCATTTTCCATTATTCTCAATGATTCACATCTGGACAAAGATTGCATTAAACTAGAACTTGTAATAGACATAGGTGTATGATTAACTGGCTGAACTTGCTGGGGCATGGACTGTTGCTGTTTTTGAGAGTTTGATCTGGACAGCGCTTTGGCTTGACCTAGCTAGAAAACAATAAAACTATACAATATAAACCAGGCCCCAAGTTCACAAATCATTCTTTGACTTACATTAAGAATTTTCTCAACTTTCAACCACTGTTTATGAGAAATACCTTTGATCCAGAAACACAAAACTTTGCAGATAATGATGTATTTGATATTAAAACAACAAAAGTTATATAAAGGGCTATGCTATACATGTATTTTAGTTAAAAGTAGGCGAACAATTTTGAGTAAATTCTTAACTCAAGTCTGAGAATGCTTTGAGAACTCAGGGCCAATACAATTGTGTCATTATATCAGGGAATGAAGAAGAGATATGCATGATGTTTGCTTGTTGATGGTCATTGTTTTTGCTATTAGCATTACACAAAATAATAGCGAGCATAAATTATGTTGGATATCAGGTGCACTTTAAATGAATTTGTTACAGACAAGGATGGAAATTTCGAACACATCTTATAAAGGTAGCACAACATTTCAGTCCTGCCTCATTTCGGACTCAACACGGACGACCTCTCAGACAGACTTTGACAACAGTTCGGATTTACTTGACGACTTTTCAGACTCGGTCTAGCGCGTTTCGGACTCAGATGAAACATTAACACTGCTTGTTCTATTTTGTTCTGTTTCATCGGCGAGTATTGAACCTGACACCAAAATACTGTTGAAAATTTGTATATATTTAGTAATACTTCGTTGTTTTTCTTTTATTAAACACGAAATGAGCTTGATTGACCAATCACTGCTAATGTTTTTATAATTGTGAAAGCCTAAAAATGTGTTTAACGTGAAACGGCATAATTGCAATCAACGCACTGCAGTCATTATTGATGATTGACAACTCACGTTTTTCCACATCCACAAAAGGACAATACGGTACATACTACAATAACATCGGTTAATCAGCTTTAATTATCCTGCTTTGATCGTTGCCATTTCTAATATTTTCCGAAAAGACTTTTCTTCCTATGCACTAATTTATTGATTGGTACTGCTATCTATGGCAAGCTTGTTGAGTAATGAATGTCAACGTGCAGCTTACAGATTACTGTTAAAAATTTCGAAGGGACTTGTAAAATCAGTGCATGTCGTGTAAATATTTACTTTTGTTTTTGGGTAGGTCATTTTGAAATATTATTCTTTTTGCAAAAATATATTACTTTTACGGGAAACGATGATAAAGAACCGTAAGTGCAACTAATGTTTTATCGTTTGGTGGAGCCTTTTAACCATGTGTTTCATGTTAATTTTTCTTTCGTGTTTTGAATTGGCCTATTTCTAATAAATTCATCAGCTCCTTTTTATATACATATTACAGATATAAAGAAATAAAACATTCTTTTCATAAACATTCATCACTGGAAATTTTGCTGTTCCTGAAGGGGTCTATACAGGATTTACCCTGTACGGTTCGTGATCCACAATTCCACATGCCGTACTTGATGGCGAGAGGTAAATTTTACCTGCATGTTATTTTTATAAAATTGTTTTTGTTCAACATTTCCAAACTGTCACCTGTCCAAGTCCCAAATGCCGAGGCCATATTATTTTCAGTCCGAAATGTCGTAAGTTCGAAATGACGCGGGACCGAAATGACATGTAATCATTATGAATAGGTTCACAGAACTGTTTAAAATAAACTTACAGCAACTTTAATAAGTTTCCAGATATCTTGTTGTCTACTACGTTGATTAGATGTAAGCTGTTTACATGCTGCACTTATGTCATCGCAACATCTCTGTATATTGGGTAATATTTGATTCAAATTAGCACGGCAGATACAAATTTTACTGAAAAACATAAATGTGTACACAGGTAGGTTTTTAAGATGAAGTTGTTATTGGACAGGTTGAAGTTAAATCAACACAATGGAAAAGGTCAGTAATAAAAATGATCATATATTTAACATGTTTCTGAACCTGTCCTTAATTATTCTGCATATTCTAGGTAATGAACACATTTTTGACACAGATCTTTGTACAATATTTCTTTCCGTATACTATCCTATTCATGGATGAAGTGTAATCTTATGCCAATGAGGTCTGCAACAGCAGGGTTACAGATGATACCTACTTTCCCACAATATAAAAATGCTATCAAAGACCATCTAACCTGATATGAGTCAACATTTCTGCTACTGATCTGTCTCTAAATAAAATACATTTGGTCACTGCATCTACCATCTGTGTATGTTCCATCAAGTGGCTACCTGTACAAAATTTACAAAGACAAATAATATTAAACTAGTGGTCTACCTTTTCTCCATATACACAATGGTTAATACACGATGAATCATCAATAAAAAGATTGGTTGCCAGGCAATGAAACATACGCCCACAGCAGCTAAATTGTCCGGGCAGTCAACAAGTGTTGTCACATATTTTTATCTTTTTTCGGTAATGAAACATTTATAATACACTAAAATCTGATTAAGAGTAACAACTCATGAAGTAATTATCAGAAAACCATTAGAATTTGTTTGGTTTTTATAAAGTTCTGCCCCATGCTAACGCTTAGTATATAAAACTTTTAATATCATGGATTTAGCTGTTCAAGTCATAAAAATTTATTTGTTTGTATCAAGATCTTAAACTTTGTGTATCAATCTGAAGTCAATCGGATGATAACTTTAGCCTCTAGAGCGTCACAAGATTTTTCAAAGTGATCAAGGGCCATAACTTTGGCAGTAATTATCAGAAATCTTTAAAAGTCCAATAGGATTCTTCGTCTCGTGACCTCAAACACTGTGTATAAATTTAAATTCAATCAGATATTAACTTTAGCCTCTCGAACATCCATAAGATTTTTTGAAGTGATCAAGGGCCATAACTGTGGCAGTAATTATCGAAAATCACTGGAAATGAATTGACTTCTTCGTCTCATGACCTTAAACACTGTGTATAAATTAAAACTCAATCAGATATTAACTTTAGCCTCTAGATCGTCCACAAGATTTTTCAAAGTGATCAAGGGCCATAACTCTGGCAGTAATTATCGTAAATTGCTGAAAATCAATAGGCTTCTTCGTCTCATGACCTTAAGCCCTGTGTATAAATTTGAAGTCAATCGGATATTAACTTTGGCCTCTAGAGAATCTACAAGATTTTTTGAAGTGATCAAGGGCCATAACTCTGGCAGTAATTATCGAAAATCGCTGAAAATCAATAGGCTTCTTCGCCTCATGACCTTAAACACTGTGTATAAATTTAAGTCAATTGGATATTAACTTTAGTCTCTAGAGCGTCCACAAGCAATTGTGGACGCCGGACCGCCGGCTGGACAGACAGGGGCGACGACAATATACGACCACATTTCAATGTGGGCGTATAAAAATGATTGGTAAATTCACAATGAATGGGCAATACACAATTAATGGGCAATACACAATAATGAGAAATACACAATAATGGGCAATACACAATGAATGTACAATCCACAATGAATGGCCAAAAAACAATGAATGGTCAATACACAATACATGGACAATACAGAATGGGCAATTAAACCCAGACATTACAGCTCAACATTTTTCTTATCACTGCTCTATGGAGTAAGCATAGTATGCTAGCACACTCTCATTTTCATTGCTAATTTACAGACAGTTTTATTAAAACAAATTAATAAATAAATAATATGACAGGAACCAGAGTATATAATAAACAAGCCAACAGTGAGGCTGATGTCCCCCGCTGAAATCCTGAAATAAATATATGACACATATTAAATAATTGCATGTTTATCTTTTTCAAAAGTATAGAGCAATCAAACTGATCATCAACTATACACAAGTTTCATCACTCTCTATCAGACAGAATCAAAGTCAAAGAAATTGCTTAGCTCTGCTTAATTAGCTTTAGTGGGAAATGGTAATCATTGAACTCAGTCAAGGCATTCACCTAATGAACATCAATATCAAGTTTAAACTTTCTATCTCAATTAAAAGCAGAGTTGTTATGTTCCAAAGTCTTGACCAATCAAATTGTTTATCGCTCCTTAACCTAAGCAGAAAATTCTTATCAAACTTAGTCAAGGTAATGATATAATGAATCTATACGCGGAGTTTCATAGCTCCCATTTAATTATAACCAAAGTTATTGTGTCCAAAAGCATCAACCAATCAAGTTGCTTATCTCTGCTTACCCTAAGTAGACAATGTTCATCATCAATCTCCATCAAGGCATTCACCTAATGAACACCTACACTAAGCTTAAACACTCTACCCCAATTAGGAAAGTTACTGTGTTTCAAAATCTTGGTCAATCAAAATGCTTATGGCTCTGCTTACCCTCAGCAGAAAATGTTCATTATCAAACTTAAGCAAGGTATCGATGTGATGAAACTATACACCAAGTTTCATCACTCTCACTTAATTAGAACTAAAGTTATCGTGTCCTATAGTATCAAATCAACCAATGAAATTACTTATCAATGCTTACCCTTAGCAGAAAATTCTCATCTTTGAACTCCATAAAGGCATTCACCTAAAACACCTACACCAAGTTTGAACATTGTTGCTCAATTAGAAGGAGCGTTATTGTGTTCCAAAGTCTTGATCAATCAAATTGCTTATCGCTCTGCTTACCCTGATCAGAAAATGTTCATTATCGAACTTAGTCAAGGTATTGGTGTACTGAAACTATACGCCAAGTTTCATCACTCTCACTTAATCAGAACTAAAGTTATTGTGTCCTAAAGCATCAACCAATCAAACTGCTTATTTCTGCTAACCCTAAGCAGAAATTGCTCATCTTCGAACTCCATCAAGGCATTGACTTAATAAACACCTACACCAAGTTTGAACATTCTAACTCAATTAGAAGGAGAGTTACTGTGTCCTAAAAAGTGTGACGGACAGACAAACGGACGGACAGTCAGACAGACAGATGTAGCCATTTTAATTGTCCCCTGCTTTCTTCGAAATGTGGGAGACAAAGACAATAATTAATATTTAACACAGTATACCTTTTGAAGCTTGTCTAAGTTGACTAAACAATGTCCTTGCCTTTTCTTCACTGAAATTAAAAAGGCAATTTAATTGGAATATTATTCTTTCATTTGGCATACTGGTGTATACCAGTGTTTATTCACACTATTCAGCTGACCTAGGATATTTAATAATAGTGTATATATATACAGTATCAATATGATTGGTTTTGAGAAATATTCTTTTAAAATGTAAATGTATATTTACCATTCATTGAGATGTGGGCTTGGTTTTCCTCGGGCATATGGACTTTTCTGTAGCTCCACAATTTTGGTTTGCAAAGCATTTGCATCCTGTTCCAACTTTAGAGCATAATCTCTCTAAAAGAAAAAAAATTAAAATTTGATTTGTAGATCCAAAATCATTCTTGACTGTTGTGACACTATCATTAATAATCATGATAAGGTTGTGAAATCAATCGGCATTCCTTGATAAATTTCAATAATTCATTCTCGGACTTCGGTTAACCAGGTAATCCACAAGAAGGAAAGGTAATACTATCTTATATTAGGATTTAAGATCAGAAGATTGTTGCGTGATGAGACTGTTCTTGGGCAATCACTTAGCACTCTTCTAAGGTGGAAGAACTTAGTTATCAACCTTCCATTTAAAGAAACAAAATCAATATGCATTTAGTAGACACAGCTTTATTTATAGGCTAATTAATTACGTAAGTTAATATATACTAGTAACCATGTTCATTTATCTTTGGAGACAGAGTATATAAACAATAATAATTATATAGGCCTAAAGAGTATCAGGGACTTTTTAAAATTTGATTTACACTAAAAGTCGTCATCAGAAAAAGATCCCAGGGAAATATACCCTATTTATAGTCAACTAAAAGAGTTAAACATACCAATTCGTTGAATTTGTCAATATCATCTTCCGTTTTCTGCCATTTTGAAAACATCAAATCAGAAGCTGAAGAACAAAATTTCATATAATTCCATTTTAATACAATTCAGTTTTTAATTTCTGAAAAAAATTCTTACTTTAAATTTTGTTTTATGAATCACCATCCAAAATTTCCATGTTCTAAACCGTCTAAAGAATGAGACTGTATAGTATATCACGACAGTACATATTTATATTCATGTAAAAAATAATACAGATTAAAACTGAAGAAATAAACTTACTGATACCATCAATCCTCTGATCTTCATATTTAGCAATATCTAACTCTAAACTGAAACAATATAAAAGAACATGTATACAAGATTCTGTAATATTATCTCAACTCAAAATTCAAATGACCTGCTTCTCTTCAATCTAATTGTCTCATATATCTTCCCTCGTGTTTATCTTCGCCAGCAAAGCTGAGGACTTGGGTTTTCTATACATTATTATCAAGTCCTGTAAAAGCCTCTATTATGTTTAGGTAAATGAATAATTAATTACCTGTCTTTGAAATGATCTTTTCTTGCCATCATTTGTCCCACATCTGACAGCATTTTACTCTTCATTCGCACAAATTCAGAATTAGACCTCAATAAACTTAACCTGCAAATATCAAATACTAATATTTATATCACCGCACAATTAAAACATTTAAATTTTACATAAAGATTCACCTCTTTAAAGAATTATTAGGGTCATCAATTTCATCTTTATAAATTATATCTGCAAATTTTGTTCTTTTAATGAATATGCAAAATAGGTCTTATGTGTTTGTTTTACTTATACATGTATCTAATCCATGTTTGTCATTCAGTAACTGCTTTCCATTTGAAGGCAGTCAGCGAAGATCAAACATAGTCCATGATAGATTGTACTGACATAGTATTAAGTAAAATCCAGCAATTGCACTTATTTTATTTTACTTTAATTTCCCAGTCATAAACTAGTTTCAACCATATACATGGTGTTGTCAATGAATATGGTACTATATACTACATTAATTTATCCGAGAGAAAAAAAAATGATTACAAACTTACATGGTGGCTCTCTGGCTTCCGATCAGACGTTTAAAGTCTTGATTCTGTTCTTGACAGAAGAAAACAGCATGAGCCCAAGCTTTTCTTTGTTCCTATATGTATCAAAATATTGCATGAAAAAACTTATTCAGAAGTTTCGTAAAGTGAATGTGTTAACTTATTCAGAAGTTTCGTAAAGTGAATGTGTTAACTTGAGTTGTTTTACTAATTTAGGGCTAAAAGGTGGTATTTTTTGACATATCTTTGTCTTTGTGTGAAAATCTATAAAAGACCTATTATTCATATGTTTCTATTATATTATTTCCAATCCTTATTTTAGTTCTGAAGGAATTACAATTAATAATTCCACTGAAAACAGAGCTACAACGATTGGTTTAACAAGCCTGATTTTCGACCAAGTACTTTTATCAAACCTAAATTTTATAATTTCACTGCAATATAATATAGCAGTCTATTATTTACATAATAAAAATTTCAATTGATCCTGTGCCATGTATAAAATTCAAACTACTTACACTATTGGATAATATTGTTTTCGGTTCTTTAACTATATGCTGTACCATCTGAGGCAACTGTTTACCTCTCTTGTATGTTAAAGTTGTGTCACTTTTCCTAAATAAAAATACTAACCATTCTTCTTCACCCTTTATCATAAGAAAAAATAAAGTACATAAATGAATAATAATACAAACAAATAAAAATTATAAGTAATAGTTACTTTAATGTGATGAAATTAAAGACAAAAACACTTGGATTTGGTTTTTACTCTCTATACTCCACAAACGACACTGCAAAATTAGCAATATTAATGAATTTTTCTTTCAAAAAGTATTTTTGATAAATACAAAAATAAATCATAATATTAACATCTTTTATATATACAAGCTATAGAGTATATATATGGTTGTATTTTCCTCAAGTTGGTTTTGCAATAAATAATGGTGTCCCACAGATCCCCCACTGTCTCATCTGTCACAGAGATTTTGTCCCATCCTGAGATCAGGACCCCTGCATGTCTCATACTTAAACTTTGTTGACTACAAATAGTATAAACGAAGCAATAATGTTGCATCTGAAGGCCAGACTAATAAAAATCATAGCAGTGCAACATTTTATCGACAATGTAGAATGGAAAGTCATAGAATGCTGAAAATCAGCATGGTTCATCTCCATGCTGCACACCAAATTTGAAAATTTGTCAGTCTAAATGCTTCACACCAAATTTGAAAAAAATCCATTAAAAACTGTTGCCTGTATCCCTTCCATTTTGTTTTCACTGTGCATAATTGCTGAACAGAAGGCCATTTAATGCTGGAAATCAAAAGCATTAATTTTGTCATGATCCCAATGCTTCACACTAAATGTGAAAAAAGCATCTGTTAAACTGTAGCCTCTATTGCGTTTACATTTTTGGGAAAAGGGAAATTTACTTCGGAACAGAAGTTTCCACCTTCCATAACCCCATATCAATATGGGGTTCATAAACTTCATACACAAAAGTTTCACAAAAAATTTAATAAAAAAATCTTTTAAAAACTGAAATCTGTATTGCGTTCACAAGGTAACTCTAGAATGAACGGTTCCAGAAGACTTAAAATGTCGATTGATAATACCCCAATGCTTCAAACCAAACTTGACAAAATTATGTTAAACTGTAGCCTCTATCACACTCAAAAGGTTTTCAGCTAAGGTCTTTCAATAAGGGAATGCTGAATATCGATGGGATTTGTCCTCTCATTACCCAAATGCATGACACCAATGTTGAAAAGGAATCTGTTCAAAGCGGTAGCCTCTTTCACGTTCACAAAGTTTTCGAAGGGGTAACTCCAGAATGGAAGGTCACATAATGCTGAAATTGGGCAAGGTTTGTCCTCTCATGACACCAATGTTTTACACTCAATTAGAAAAAAGTCTGTTAAAAACTGTAGCCTCTATCGTGTTCAGAATGCTTTTGCAAACAGATGGTAACTCTAGAATGGAAGGTCTGTATTAAATTCTTATTCTGAATAATTAATTTGTTGCATATATTTAATGTCCCATCCGTCACATATTCTGATGTCCCACCGCTCACAGTGTTTATGGTGCTGCTGTGGCATAATGACAAATACGAAAACATAGCTATTTTACCTAATTCCAGTTATAAGATTCTATTTTAACATAGACATGTTAGTTAAACTAAATTTTAGTAATTGAGATAGATCAATGTGTTGATATTAAGATTAGGTAAAACGGTGGTCTAAAAATGTTACATCCTTCACCTCAAACATAATCCCCAAATTCTCAGGAATTATTTTTTCCCCAAAAAAATTTTTTGATGGATATTAAAAGCTTGAAATGGTGGTTGTCAAAAATACTTTCCATTGCATGTTTTCAAATGTATTGAAATAACCAGAGCTGAAATTTACCGGTACTCTGATAATTAATTTTATCTTTTGTCCCATCTGTTACCCTGGAATTACCCATTTGCTATTCCAGTTTCCCTCCATGGACCATATGCTACAGAGCAAATTATATTCCAAGAAGTCAAAGTTCTAAATAAAACGTTTTGAACAGAAATGTTGTAACTTACAGGTTCTGACCAACACTGTGAGGCAGGTTTAGTTAAATCTGGACTTAGACCACTAGCTAATAATATATCTTGATCTAATGGAGGTATTTTAGTCTCCTGTTCGATAATACGTTGTAAATCCTGCATCGTTTGAGTATTTGGTACAGGTACAGATATCAACCGGTTAGCTTCAACAAATAATATATGTGAAATCTGCAAAACATAATATATACAATTGTCGTATTAAAAACATAAGACTTGTGAGAAGGTCTCCTCCAGTTTACTAGCAGCAAAATCTGCCATGTCAGCTGTAAAACCAATGATAATGAATCCCACAAGAAAGTAGTATCCAATATGTTTGAGACAAGCAAAGTTTGGAGCAATTAACACTGGCATCATTTTGGGAAAACTCTGGTGATGTGAACTGCCCATTGCTCAACGACTTAAGTACCCTAGTTATAAGTTTATATATAGATGAAATATTGATGATAATATATTGATGAACGATTGACTTTGTGATATAAACATACCTTAAGAGATAAAATACTTTTTAAATGAACAAAACAATTAGGTCTTCGTTCTTCAGTTAAACCTCCTCCTCGACTCTTTGCATCCCATCTTAACATTAGTTTCAACCAATTCTCAAAATAATTTTGCATTATTCTATAAATAAAAGCAAAAAGTAAACACTGTCCATGAAATGATATTTAAAGAATGTGGGATCTTTAACTGTGCAAAGATGATATTTACGGTTACAAAAAAGGTCAAAATCTTACAATAAAAGATAATCCAATTTTTTCAAAATAAATTTAAGAAATCTGCAACTTACTTTGTTAAATGGTTTGGAGTAAATAGTTTCTTTGAAAATCTGATTTCAGCATTATTGTCAAAATATGCACAGATATCATCTGGTGACTTCTGGTTAACTTCTTTATGCCTTCAATTATAAGAATATTATTACAATGAAATTATAATGCTAATATTATATTACACAAAATATAGAAAATTGAAACAACCCACACTCATACTGTCATAAATCTTTGTACTGAAATTGAATTGCACCAAAGACCCATTCTCGTACTAATCAGGTTCAAACGATATCCTCAATCAATAATAATCAAAAGTTACCAGGTGACTATCAATTTCTAGCAGAAACTATACTGAAGTGTCCAACAGATAATAATGAAGCAGAACACAGTTTTTATGGGAAACAATCACTAGTATTCCAGATAGTTCCCCATAAAAACTGTGTTCTCTTAATGTGTTTCCCAATCACTAAATGGGGTACACTCAAAGATTAAAGACACATTATGGGGGGTTAGATAAAGAGCTGGCAGTTCTAACTAGAATAGATAAATACTAGATAATGTAAAGGGAATTTTCTGAAAATTTCAGTCAAATTGATCAACTCTGAACCAAGAATTTAGCAATTGAATTTTCGTCCTAGCCTCCATCATCATTAATAAAATCGATATGATAAAAAACACAGTCTCAATTATCCATTTCATGATTAAATCATGAATGAAAGTTGAGCAGCAAATCGGATCCTAATCCAGTAAATATTGCAGGCTAGCAATGATTATGGTCTGGATAAGTTAATTAATGTCTAATTAATAATTTAGATAACATTTCAGGCTTAAAGAAAGGCCTGAAATAGGCAGATTTAGCTCTTGCATAATGCATTTCTAATAATAAAGCATTCACTTACCATCTGACAGGAGACAAAGAAGGTAAAAATGGCCTTGACCCAGTTAAACATTCAAATATAACAGTTCCAAAAGACCAAAAATCTACCGTCTGTGTATATTTCTGACCAACAAATAATTCTGGAGCCTGAAAAAAACAAATCATTCAAAGAACAAATCATTCAAAGAAATCTAATTCAGCACAAAATTTACCCATAGTTTGATTATCAAATGGATTAAATTAGAAATAAATAAGAACATTATACTTACTAAATACTGTAAAGTTCCAACAAAAGATTGGCAAACACTACTCTGATCTAATTCTTTAGCATAACCAAGATCAATCAGTTTATATATAGTCTAAAAAAGAAAAAAGAAATGACATGGGGTTTATATAATGTCCTACTGTTCTGCACAGACTAACCTGAAGATGGGCATACGCCATACAGTTGGCTATGAGTGCAAATTTGCTTGGACAGCGGCACTACAGTACATCCTACTCTTAAATTAAATTCCAACTGTCAAGGGTTCTTTTACGTGCACGCCAATGTGTACACAGGACCTCAGTATTTTGTCCCATCCTATCGACTATACATTGTTCCTTGCCAGATTTTCTGCCAGAAAATACCAATAATCTCTCTAGGTCAATACAGGGATCAAACATGCTCCAAAAAGAAAAAGAAAACTGATGTTGATGTTCCTGACATTTTTTACACATGCAGAATTTTTGTCAAGCTTATTGGAAATCCTCCACTAAGATAAGTCAAGTTTATACAATTGGTACAATGTATGTTAAGCATCTAATGAAATGTGATTGAATGTCAGACTTTTCTGCTCCAAATGTACTAACTGTATAGGCAGTGGGCTGCCTTGGGCTTCCATCACATGAAAATGACTAGAACCACTTTCCTTGTCAGGTCTTCTGTCTTAAAGCACTGACATGGGGAAACTAGACTGGAATATTCTGAGACATTTTATTGGCCAACTACAGGATCGAACCCAAGGCCTCATAGGTAGTGCTCCTTAAATTGCATCATCAACAATCATATGTTATGGTCTTATTTTGCAACATTATTTTCATATACGATTACGTGCAAGAGAAAGAAATGATAATGAATCCATATGATAATAGAATGTATATCACAGGATTCACACCATCAAGAAATGAAAGATTATATTTATTCACCCTGTTCTCAGCTGAGCTAAGTACAATATTTTCAGGTTTTAAATCTCTGTGAATAATTCTTTTAATGTGTAAATATTCAATAGCTGAAGAAATATCTTGTGCTAAACATCGGACTTCGAATTCACTCATTCCACAACAATTTTTGGGATTATTTAGAACCTGAAGAAAATTAACATATCTGTTGAATGGACAAATGGTAAATAATAATATGGTCACATATCAGTTCAATGGACAAATGGTAAATAATAATATGGTCACATTCTACATCAATCACATTCTAAGCATCATCCACTGACCATTGACTGATTATCTGCAGAGGATAGAATGCAATAAATATTTTCTATCTAGATTGCTACATACATGGTGAGAGAGAGAGAGAGAGAAATGAGGTTTAACGTCCACGCGACACAAACTAGGTCATTTCGGGACTAACATATGGTTTAATTTTATTTCAATAATTCGCTTGTGTCTAGGGGTCTTTAGCAGTGGCAGGAAACCGGAGGAACCGGAGAAAACCCACGAGGTTGGACAGGCGACCCTACTCCTTGTAACGTACAACCGGGGATTCGAAACCACACCAGTCAACTCAATGACAGACTTTATGATACAGCGCACGCACGCTGACCATTCAGCCATCCAACCCCCCTACATACATGGTACATGTACAAAACAAAACAAAACACTAAAACCCTGAAGCCAGGCTACATGTACTTTGAACATTTTTTTTTCTTTTATCAATGATTGCTAAGCTATTATATATTTCTAATTACTATTTTCAGCTATAATTCATACAGAAGAAAAAGTTTTAGCAAAAAGTCATGTTTATTTTGGTGTAGCAATAAAATTTTCCATTTTTTGTTTTAAAATGTGGGTGTTCAGTCTTGTCTTGCCAGTGGGGCAACTTTGAATGCTACACCAAAATTTGGGTGTTTAATCTTGCCTCACCAGTGGGGTTACTTTAATAAATCTATCAAAATACAACAGTAAATTCATTCCTTATAATCTAATGCAAGAAACAACAAATATTGTGAATAAATGTCTTTGGGGAGACATTGAACATCTTCAACGTTGCCCCATTTTACTTTAAAAATGGTATATTATTAGTATTTTTGTCCTTCAATTTTTATTTTTATTCAAAACAAATATGTTTTATCTACATATATAAATGAAGTGTTAATGTTGAATGATGTATACTTAAAGATTTCTAGTATGTGTATAAAGTTGACAGGTTATACATTTGACCTATGCTTAACCTTAATAGACATGCCACAGTTGCATGATGGGAGTAACATTTCATCAAATGCATATTATGTTTATATATCATCTAGGATATTTATTTAAAGTAAGCATTATATATAAGATGTGCACAAATAAATATAAAATATAAAATGTTCAAACAATATATTGAAAAATGTTTAAAATTACTCCACTGTTTAAAGTAAAGCCAGCTGACAGAACCCAAAATACAATTCAATTCATAGTTTAAGATGATATACATTCACAAGTTATAAATGAATTGAACAGCTTAAACTCTTGGGGGTTGGATGGCCGAATGGTTGCATGATAAGGTCTGTCATTGAGTCAACTGGCATGGTTTCAATTCCCCAGTTGTACGTGACAAAGAGTAGGGTCACCTGTCCAACCTCGTGGGTTTTTTCCCGGTCCTTTGGTTGCCTCCCACTTCTGAAGACCCCTACGTGCTAGCAAATTATTGAAAAAAAAATGAACGATATGTTAGTTCCGAAATGACCCAATTTGTGTTGAGTGGATGTTAAACCCCATTTCTCTCTCTCGCTTAAACTCTTGTGTAAACATTACTTTGGTTATCTGGAGACTAACATATGGTAAATGATTATGAGGGTAATGACAGGTGTGGGTTTGTGTCCCAGTAGTTTTTCTGCCTACTCTTTTTAGATTCAATGGGTACTGTTTCATGTTCATGTAACTTGTACACAAGTAGACCTAGGTTTTTATTAAAATGACTATGCACTCTTTCTTTGCAAGGCTTGAATAATCCTGAAAATTCTTCCTGGTCTACAAAGGATTTGAACGTGGGACATTCTAGTCAAGACACCATTGCCCTACCAATGCCACAAAGAATCAAAAGTACTTTAATACTTTAAAGAATCCAAAAATTATTCAATTCAAGTTATTGCCATTTAAAGGTTACATTGGTTAATACTAATTCTAAACTTACATAATTACATAAAAATAACAGTTTTTATATTAAGATAGTATATATTTTTAACTTTAACTGTGGCACATTGCTCTAATTAGTTACTGCAAAACTGTTCCATGCAGATCTTCATAGTTTTTATCAAATTATAAACTTTTACCTTTCTTAAGTCACCACCAGCACAGTATTCCATGGCTAATAATGGAAGATCATCTTTTAAAGATTCCAGCCCAACAGGAACATCACACCCAGACACAACATTTTCATGGTTTAATCTTTTCATTATATCCACTTCTATTTGCCATCTTTGACAATTTTTATGTGACATATTACCTCCAAGTCGACATTTCTTTATTGCCACCTCTTCTCCAGTTATCTATTTTGTGTAAATAAAACCTCTTAATTTCTATTTAAATTCAGAAGATAATAATAAAATAATTCAAAAATACACAAAAAGTTTATTGCCAACTTCTCTTCAATTATCTAAATTTAGAAGACAATAAACAAAACATCAGAAATACAAAAAGTTTATTGTCAATTTCCAATTTCTCTCCAATTAACTGATTGTTATTTAAAGTAAGTAGATGGTAAAAACACAGAAATACAAAGAGTTTCTCAAATGAGAATGGAAATAATTGAATTGAAGTTTACCATCCTACTTTTTTGTACCAACCGGGCTAATGAGGATGGAAAACACAGATGAAGAGACTAGTTAATTCATTTTCACGACTGACTCATTATTCATAATAATTTAGAACTTGTTAATTAACAAGCCGACAGTGAGGCTGATGTCCCCCGCCAAAATCCCAAAATAAATAGATGACACATATTAATTAATAGCACATTCATTTTTTTTAAAAGTATCAAGCAATCAAACTGATTATCAACTATACATTAAGTTTCATCACTCTCTATCAGATAGAATCAAAGTTATCCTGTCCCAAAGCATTGAAAAATGAAATGGCTTAGCTCTGCTTAGCTTTAGCTCAAAATGTTAATCATTGAACTCAGTCAAGACATTCACTTAATGAACATCTACATCAAGTTTAAACATTCTACCTCAATTAAAATCAGAGTTGTTATGTTCTAAAGTCTTGACCAATCAAACTGCTTATCGCTCCTTAGCCTAAGCAGAAAATACTCATCATCGAACGTAGTCAAGGTAATGATATAATGAATCTACTCTGAGTTTCATCACTCTTACTTAATTAAAACCAAAGGTAATCGTGCCCAAAAGCATCAACCAATCAAATTGCTTATCTCTGCTTACTGTAAGCAGACAATGTTCATCATCGAACTCCATCAAGGCATTCACCTAATGAACGCCTGCACCAAGTTTAAACATTCTACCTCAATTAGAAGGAGAGTTATTGTTTTCCAAAGTCTAGACCAATCAAACTGCTTATCGCTCTGCTTGCCCTGAGCAGAAAATACTCATCATCGAACTTAGTCAAGGTATTGATGTGTTCCCTCTCTCACTTAATTAGAACTAAAGTTAACGTGTCCCAAAGCACCAACCAATCAAATTGCTTATCTCTGCTTACCTTAAGCATCAAGGCATTCGAAAGGTGGAGGACAATACATGTAATTACCTTCAAATGCAGTCAATTTCAAATATTACAAATATTTACAGCCATAGGATGGAATGGGTTTAAAAACAACACTAGATCCTTTTGAGACTAACATATTTTCGTTTCTCATGTTTAAAAGTCATAGTAAAATTTGTGGTGTTTTGGTCCAACTTTTCTTATTTTAAAAGCCAAAATGTAGCCTACCTCATTTTTCCATAAGGTGACAGTTCCAAATCCTCCCGAGCCCAATGTTCTGTCTAATATCCATCTTTCTCTTCGCTGTCCAACCTGGAGAAATTCTTCAGGAAAATTATTAAATTGTTGAGGTTGAGGAGAAATTGGATACGGTTGTTGTTGTGCAGCCGTTGCACCCTGTATTTGTTGTTGATGTTGCTGAAGCATCCTCACCATTTAAAATACACTACTACTAGATAAATACAAAATATAATATCACAATTAACCTTAAAGATGGATTGTCACTTTCAACAAGAAAACATTCAAAACATATTGAAAATATAAACACTCATCTATTTAAAGAACAGTATTTTGCAACACTCAGATATTTATTATCTTACCGTACGTACATACATAACTATCTCATTTGTCGAAAAAGTCTTTTCTTTAGAACTACATATGCCAAATGTCAACTCAGACATAATATCTAGTAACTTAAAACAACACTTCAATGCTGTAGTGTATATATAATATTACATATGTAACCTTATGCCTTATGATTAATTGATCCTGAATGTCATTTCAGTGACTCATATTTCAGTATTCACAATTTAACTTTTAATATCCAATCACAGCACCAGAAAAGTTTTCGATGTGATGACAGGATACAGTGTTTATGGCATAATCCAATGCTAAGTATTTCAATAGGTGTTTTCCATAAAATTATAACGGTATATGAAACAGGAAGTTAAACTCCGACATTTATATTTATACAATACAAAAATGACAACCAAAAAACATACTAAATTAACCTTTCCTACGGCTTAATAGTACTCTAAATGGTTATAATAGTTGTTAGTAACCTGGTTGGTACATTTTTATGAGTAGAATATGGCTGTCAACCAAACATAATCCAAACAGTTGCAAGTATTTATCAAAAAACTGAACGTTTCACTGTCAATTCTATGTTTAGAAAGGGGAGTACCAAGATCAAGTTGACGTCATATCCTGTTAGTGTTACTAAATATAGACAATAAAGAAATCCTGTAATCATTTGCATTCAAACGGCCATAAGGTCCCAATTCAATACTATTTATAAAACCGAATATATTTCTGGCAATTCAAAACTTAGAACTTACGGCACTGTAAAACCTACTATAGACTATCCAGCTAATTATTTGCTTCATGTACACAATAAAAACTTCAAGTCTGCTATGACCGCACTACGATTGAGTTCCCATAAACTAGAAATAGAGAGGGGCCGGTACAAGACTATATGTGCACTCTGTTCCATCTCTAAAGCGGAAACCGAATTTAACTTCTTAATTGAATGTCCACACTATCAATCTCTTAGGCTAAATATTCTTTCTGCTACATTCAGTAACAACAATTTGGCCATAACGTTTGAAAATCTATTTGACCCTCCCCCTTCAGTTTCTGTGAGTGTATGCCATATATATAAACTAAAGCATTTCAACGTAGAAATCAAGCCTCGACCTAATATGGTATTACAAGGCAAAACTTCACATTTTATTTTTTTATCCTTTTAACATCTATACATTTTTGAAGTAATGTTTCTGATAGATGTTTTCACTTTTAACATGAACCTATGTATTTTATGTTTAGTATTCTTATAAATATATATATGTATATTGCTATTTATTTTTTGTCATGTTACTTATGTCATGTGTATGAATTGTATATGCGGCCTGAAATGGGTGTTATGATACAATAAAATCTTATCTTATCTTATCTTATCTTTGTCACTTTATTCAGTCAGCTCAGTTAAGCACAGGGGGACCGCATAACATGCAATTGCAAACAAACCCTTGAACAAGACAAGGGGTCTGGTGATGGTCATTTGAGGTTGACTACGGCCGAGACATTGTGGCGCAAAAATCACCCTTACACTTAGTTAATAAAGTTAAAGTAAGTTAAAGATGGGTTCCCAGAAAAGTATTTATCGGGCGGTTATTTCCAATAAAAGTATGGTAATTTTGGTATATATATGGAAAGTAGAAACATCCAATCATCCCAAACTTAGGCTGCCTATCTACAGCTAGCTCCGGTCTGGGAAGTATGACGTAGATGGGTCGCTGCGTGCAGTATGACATCCAATCTTACTAGAAAAATACTGGATCCCCTGAAAAACACCCATGGGGCAAGCACTGGGCAAAAATGTCAGGGTGTTCCTAACTGACAACCCGACGATTAGTGATATCCGCGCGCAGGTTGTATGAGTTAATTGTATGAGGGAGGGAGCGCTCAATTTACAGTGTAATGGCGAGTGGTCGTGGAAAAGGTGACAGACTGAAACGTACAACAGATACAGAGATTAAACTGCGGAAAAAGAAATGGGCAGAAGATAATCTCAGAATTTACTTAGGCTTTGATATTTATGGTAAATGGACAGCGATCAAAGACAAATACAACCTTAATTAAACGGGATCGGGAAGTCGCGTCTATATTGAATATTGGTAAGTTTTCATGTTATATGGCTTCTACTTTTGCTTTCGAGTTTTTAATGAGGCTGCTTATATATGGACACAGATCACTAAAGATTCCCCATTGACTCCAATGTTAATTCTCGTATCTTAGACCGGCTCTAACTTTTTCCCAAATTTTCGTTGGGTAGAACGCTTTCTACCACAGATGGAGCAACATGTGGCAACCACTTGCCCAAAAGCACGTATGAGGTTCTTCATGAAAAACTTGAGATACACAAGCTGGAAGTAGAGACAAGTAAACATGCAATTTCAGGCCCTACATTTCAACGTAACCAACCTCTCAACTCTTGTATCCTTCCGCATCAAAATTATGAATATTCACCAAAACCTGGCAGAAAATGTATTTTCAAACCCTTTTCCTCAATTCTACACCAAAAAGTCAACAAAAATCGCCATGCAAAAGGGGGAAAAAGGAAAAGGAAGACTAAAAATAGCTTTGGCCCTTGTTTCGTGGGTGACGGCGTAGGAATATTTGGTGATCTGTGTCCTATATAGGGGTGAAACTTCAGGGATCACCAAAAGGCCTTTTTTATTTCCTTCCCATGTGTTCTGGCAACATGCCGGTGAAAGAAAATCAAAATCAAAGAATAACTGTAAAAATGATGGCCCTTTAAGTACACATGCTGCTTTATGTACACTGGTGCATCTCAGGTCCATAGGCCTTTTGTGCTAAAATTTAAAAATCTTTCTTATTAAAGGCAGTATCTGAGTTCTGTGAAAAAATTAGACAAGTAACAAAGAAACTACATACAAAATACTCATAATTTGGAATTTTTTTCAAAAATATAATTTTTTACTGCCATGTGATGAAAAATGTACAAAATTTACATGTAGCATCTCTCAAAATACCAATAATTTTCCACTTTTTTAAATATCCGGACGGACAAGAAATATATTTTTAGAATCTGTGGACAATATGCAAACAGAAAAAATGCAAACCAGTTGCAATGATTGTAATATTAGAGATCTATACTGAAACATGTATGCCTACCCCCTGAACATGCCACTGATTGAATTAATCTAATCTATGGTTGCAGAACTTACATTACCAAAGGAATCTGTCTAACAGCTATGTTTTACCATCCCTGGCTAACATATGCACATATAAACTAAAATAGGTGCAATAAATATGAATTATGGTTAAAAATAGGCCTTGATGAATGAAAAAAATGCCATATTTGGTCTATGATCACCCCTCTCTAACAGAAGGGTCACAGAATACACAATTTTCACAAATTTGGGAATATTTCAATGTTTCCAACATCTCAAACCTCAGAGGCATGTTACAAATTTGTATTGCAATCCTTGTGCTGAAGCAAGATGTCTGGAACTTTACATTAATTTCCTGAACAAATTAAGTCAAAAAAGTAGTCATGACAGACTTGACAACATAAAAAGAGGCCTGAAAAGGAGAAAAATTAACATTTTATTGTTTTATAGGCAACATAAATGCAGCAAACACCACAAATGCTGGATTTTGATAAGAAAATATTGAACATTAAACTGACATTTACACATCTACACCAGTTTTATATCTGGGTCTGGTCTCATTGGCCTGAAATGCCTCAGGGTTCTACGTTTGACTCTGAACAAATAAGGGTTAGAAATCCTTGAAATGCACAAAAAAAATATTTTTGGGTGAAAAATAACATTCTTAGCTGTAATTCAACCACAAATTCCAATTAAGATCATTTACATGTCAACACAGGTGCATTTAAATCCCTCAAAACACATTAATAGAAAAGGGTGGGGTGGGGCATTTATTGCCTCTCTAAACAGAATGATGGAGTAAAAAATGTCTAGAAAGGCTGGGATATTGCTTCCTACATGAAGGAAATGCAAGAATTTAATGTTTCAAAGAAGAAAAAAATGCTTATTCTGGGTAAAATAGTGGCAAAATTGAGCCAACCCCTGTTTTGAACATTTTGTACAAACCCATCTGCTGTACATTATTAACTCAGTGTTACCAATTTTCAATTTTCTGTAGGAAAGCTGGAGCTATTTCTAAACCTGACAAACATGTAGATCCCATCTAAGTTATATTAGCAAAGAAAATATGGGCATTTTTAGACATTTTGACTCATTTTAGTAGTCATGAAAATATTAATTTCTACATCCAAATGGGGGGAATCTCAAGATTTTTTGTGAATATTCCTGATTTTTAGACAAAATTTGGTGAAATTTCAATACTGTTCATTTTATCTGTGCTTTCTGAGACTGAATAAGCCAACATTGGGCATTAGAATATTTTACTTACTGTTAAAAAATCAATAAAAATTGAAAATTGAGAAATTTGCAGTAAAATCACAATTTTTCTTCAAAACTTTGATTTTTTTTTTTTTAATTAACTTTTTTTAGTTTTTCTGTAGCCAAACTATTTTATTCATATTTTCTGAGAATTTAATCTTCATATTTTCAAAACTAAGGCATATCAGTGACAGCCTTATCACACACAGACAGGACACAGATCACTAAAGATTCCCCATTGACTCCAATGTTAATTCTCGTATCTTAGACCGGCTCTAACTTTTTCCCAAATTTTCGTTGGGTAGAACGCTTTCTACCACAGATGGAGCAACATGTGGCAACCACTTGCCCAAAAGCACGTATGAGGTTCTTCATGAAAAACTTGAGATACACAAGCTGGAAGTAGAGACAAGTAAACATGCAATTTCAGGCCCTACATTTCAACGTAACCAACCTCTCAACTCTTGTATCCTTCCGCATCAAAATTATGAATATTCACCAAAACCTGGCAGAAAATGTATTTTCAAACCCTTTTCCTCAATTCTACACCAAAAAGTCAACAAAAATCGCCATGCAAAAGGGGGAAAAAGGAAAAGGAAGACTAAAAATAGCTTTGGCCCTTGTTTCGTGGGTGACGGCGTAGGAATATTTGGTGATCTGTGTCCTATATAGGGGTGAAACTTCAGGGATCACCAAAAGGCCTTTTTTATTTCCTTCCCATGTGTTCTGGCAACATGCCGGTGAAAGAAAATCAAAATCAAAGAATAACTGTAAAAATGATGGCCCTTTAAGTACACATGCTGCTTTATGTACACTGGTGCATCTCAGGTCCATAGGCCTTTTGTGCTAAAATTTAAAAATCTTTCTTATTAAAGGCAGTATCTGAGTTCTGTGAAAAAATTAGACAAGTAACAAAGAAACTACATACAAAATACTCATAATTTGGAATTTTTTTCAAAAATATAATTTTTTACTGCCATGTGATGAAAAATGTACAAAATTTACATGTAGCATCTCTCAAAATACCAATAATTTTCCACTTTTTTAAATATCCGGACGGACAAGAAATATATTTTTAGAATCTGTGGACAATATGCAAACAGAAAAAATGCAAACCAGTTGCAATGATTGTAATATTAGAGATCTATACTGAAACATGTATGCCTACCCCCTGAACATGCCACTGATTGAATTAATCTAATCTATGGTTGCAGAACTTACATTACCAAAGGAATCTGTCTAACAGCTATGTTTTACCATCCCTGGCTAACATATGCACATATAAACTAAAATAGGTGCAATAAATATGAATTATGGTTAAAAATAGGCCTTGATGAATGAAAAAAATGCCATATTTGGTCTATGATCACCCCTCTCTAACAGAAGGGTCACAGAATACACAATTTTCACAAATTTGGGAATATTTCAATGTTTCCAACATCTCAAACCTCAGAGGCATGTTACAAATTTGTATTGCAATCCTTGTGCTGAAGCAAGAT